CGAGGCGGGGTGGGCTTAGGGTGAGCGCGCCTCCGGTAGCGCGGCTACAAGCTGTAGAATGATGAAGTCCGACAGGGAACTTCTGTGAGATATCTGCAACAACTGGCAGCACATTGAAGGCCTTCCAACCATGCTTGCTATGCGCAGCCCAACCTCTGCCTCCATCGACGTTGTTCTAACCACGAAGGTGGCACCAACCTTCTACCTCTTTGCCGCAACGGATACTGGCGGGCCTGTTACACCTACTATGCCATCGACACTCGCCGTTTCTGTTTGAAGGCATGGATCAAAGCGCTTGAAACAACAGAGTTCCATCGGAGCGCCCACCATAGCATGTTCAAGGCCCTCCACTCGCACACAGCTGCAGACGACCACAATGACAGGCTTCTAATGTAATTGAAACTCTGCGGGCCATCTCAGCGGCGTCGCTAAACCAGGGGGTGGGAGGCAAGACCCTCCTGCTGCCCTAGTGTGCACGTCAATGGAGCTATGCTCATTCAAGCACTACTATTCATGTCTTCAAAGAGAAACAGCGAGTGTCGAAGGCCCGAACGGGCCATTACTTAGCCGGAGTGTCCGGTCGTCTACTTGCTAAACACCTGCACACTCTCTTACGGATATCCCGTTAACGTCGCAGTAGGTTGATCACCAGGTAGATGTTGTGGCAAAACCTTCGTTTCTGCGGAAAGGCTCAGCCGGCATGCCTGCCCCTCTGTACTCTTCAGTTCCGGTTGTGATAGTGGTCCAATTTTCCATTAAGCACTTCCTCAAGCACCGTAGGCTTTCGAAGAGTATTGCTGCAGGCAGCTGACAAATGTCAGCACGTGACCTTTGCTACGAAGTTCTTTCGCGGCACAAAGCCAAAACACATCATGCCAAACGTCATCTCCCCCGCCAGTCAACAAATAGTTCCCGTGAAAATAATGAAATTAAAATACAACACTGCACTTCTCGAAGTGATATTCCTTGATTCACCTGTTTGCACAGGAGCACCGTTAGTTATCTCAATGCCAACCCTGGCTGCCCACAGCAGGCCTTCAGGCTACAGTTGAAAAGCCGACACTGTTTTCAGCAAAACGTCAGCATTTGAAGAAAACACAAGGACGCCAGCCACGAAAGTAGGGCAACGAAAGCCACGAAAGTAGGGCAAGCAGTCTTCCTTACTGTCGTACGAGCTAACCAGTGGACGGTAGGACCGAGAACAAATCTGCAGCGACGAGGGTAAAGAAAACAAAACCACGGCATTATTCTGGGTAGAAAAGGCACCTGCAGCTCGAGTGTGTTTCGGAAGACCGCTACGTATCCCACAGAAGCTCCTGTGTGCTGCATTGGATCCAGTGGCGACAACTGGGAGCGCTTGTCGCTGCCTAGAACCTTTGTATACAGTTGTTTTTC